TACAATTTCATTTGCAGCGAAAATTAGATTATGGCAATACAGCAATTGAGATCCTAGCTTTCGTAAGAATCCCATAAAAAGTAAAATAACGTGGTACATTTTAAGGCATTTTTATTTTACATATCCGAATAGCTGTAGTCATTTGCTGAATTTACCTTGTGAAGCAACTGATAATGCCACAAAGACTCCATACAGAATAGTAATCACAGCAGTAAAATTAACAAGGAAGGCCTCAGAACCATATTTAGGAAGGGGAAGACGTGAGTTCTCAAGGAACGTAAGCTTCTCCATGAATCCTAAGGCAGCATTGGCAACTGCCAACATGTAAACCAACATCCCGAACACAACGTGCCAGGGGAGCGAGTCTGCTCTTAGGCCTTTTGATCCTCCAGGGTAGAAGAATATTACAAAACCACATATCCACTGCAAGATTTTTCTTTCATTTTAGAATCGAGGTCCGGAAGAAAATTACATGAAATTTGGAACGTAATCTTCTGGATTTAAATGGTGATATACCTGAATACCATAGAGCACAATGATCCCAATCCCAAGCCAAGAATGCAGACTGTAGAGATTGGGAATTGAACTCTCATTGTGGTACTTGAATGTGGCAGAGATACCAATAATACCCAGTATCAGTGCAACAGCATGGAGACCAAGATGTATTAGTTTCTTCACTTCCATCTTCAGAGGAACTGATTTGTAACTAATAATAGCTGCATTTTTTTTAGAAAAGATTCACTAATGTCTATGGCATTGACTCATAATGTTAATTTGAAATAAAAGATGATCACTATAAACTAAGTGTGTCGAAAACTTGTTTAAATTACCTTCACCTCCTATGATAATTACGCCAATTAGCATCAGTACAGGATGAATCTGTACCAGAAAAAAACAATGAAGGAGAAATGTGTTAAAGCAGTACCTAATTCCCATGGACTCGAACTAAGTCCTAATGTTTTAGCTACAGGTACATAGCTACATAGCTGTAAAAGGAAATTGCTTGACTTTTTCCCCTAAATTTAAGGGGGATAAATTAATACCTCAAATTTGCCATTGGGAAGATTGAGGCAGATGCGTGGTATGATGAAGTATGGTAGATGGTGAGGACTGAGGAGAGAGTTAGGTGGGCAAAAGCAAGTTAAATTATCATTTAGTTTGGTAATATGCATAATGCATTTCCCCTCTTTTTAATTTGGGTACGCATCATCGAAATTCGCCACAAATAATATAGTAGAACAGACACACATACACTGGCAATGCTGCAATGACAATATATAGACTTCAGAAATAATATAACGTAAAACCCAAGGTTTTGGGTTCTATTTCTACTGTAACTGTTGGAAATTTTATGAGTTTTTGCTAATTATATTTGATTTATAAAATTAGTTTAAATGAAAATTTTGGTAAAGTTCAATAAATTATAAGATTTAAATATGCTTACGTTATTTTAATTTTATATAATATGATATAAATATGTGTATGATCTAAAAGATGAGTTGCTTGATTGAAGTGTCTAAAAAATTATTATAATGGGTTAGGATCCTTTTTTTATTTAAAAAACCATACATCTATAAATAGTAAAGTTAGTAAATATCATGATCCATTAATTATTACTATATAAAAGTTGAATAGGGAAAAAAAGGTTTAAATCTTAATACTAACTATATTTGTTTTTGTAAGCTTGTCTATAATAATCTTTGAAAATTTTTGAGTGATATATTGATTATAGAGATTAAAGGATGCAATTTATTTATTTTGTTATATTTTAATATTTTTAAATTTTACGGATATCGATTTTTAAAATTTTAACATATAATATTAGAACAATTATACAAAAGTTTAAGATTCAAGGTTAGATTTTATACTATTTTATTGCTTTTGATCAATCAAAAACTGAAATCCTTTGTTTGCAGTAGTTGTTAGTGGTTCGTTCAAAGAATTTTAATATATGTAAAACAATTTATTTGATAATACAATGTTGAGGAGATATCTATATAAGTTTCAAACTTCTATCCATTTAATTGTTGCTTGGATTGGCTATTAGCATAAACCAATTAAATCAAGTTTAGATAATCTATTTTAATGGGTAATTGAATTTGTTAGAAGTCTTTGAGTGCATTCAAATTGTCATCAGGATGTGAACTCTTGAGAATTTGGAGAGTTTTTTAGTCATGAACATATCCAATCTTTCTCCTCTTAAGTATGTATTTTTAATCAATGTTAATCAAAATTGATTTGTGGAGTTATTATGGGTTTTCATGAGTACCTCTAGTATGCATTTATATATATATATATATATATACACATACACAAACCAAAAACGGGATTATTTACAGAGATGATAAATAGAAAAATTACTAATTAGTATGGAGTGAATTCATAATATGAACTATATAAAATCTAAAAGTTTGGCCTCGTAAAGTTATAGATATGAGGGGGTGATTTTCAATTTATTTTAGAGATTATGTTGTAAGGTACTATTTAATAGCTTGTTAATAACTATAGGTTATGATCATAGATTAAAACAGATTCTGATTATTTGGGATGATTAAAGGAAAATTTTCAATATGGTCCTTTTAATGGGTTTATTTAGTGTAACTTTATTTCTAAAGTTTTAAATATTTATAAATTATTTTAAAGTAAAAAATATTACTGGTCCAGTAGCTGTAGATGACCATAAATGACCATAAATTGAGGACTTGATCATCTAAAATAAGTAAAGTTCTTACGAAAAATGAAAATTTAACATATAAAAACAATTAAATATATATAAGAACAATTAGTGTTTGATTCCTCTATTTTTCTTAAATGCTCAAAATATTTTTCTCAAAGATTCAAAATAATCTGCATGAATGTTTGTGTGATATA